GACAATACATACCACTTCACATTTTATCCTGATAAGAATCGATACCCATCTTCCTTCCTCTTGGTCCGCTACCCAATGGGGTGTGTGCTCTAAAAGCTTTAGGTGGCCAAACCAGTTTGTGGATTCTACTGTGCTCTGGGGAGTCCATGAGATGGGTCTCCTCTCCACAGATGATGTCCGGCCAGCTTCTGCCACCCACCCCCCTAAGAAAGTCCCAGATCGCTTGCTTTTTCTTCGGTTTTACCGTGGCTAGTCCGTTCAAGTTTAGGGACCGCAGGTCCAGGTCAGCTGCCCTTTGACATTGATTTCAAACCTTGTCTTTCCCAGAGATTGCTTTCACCGGGTCTATCATCATCATTTCACCTGTATGCAGCTGACCAATTATGGCCACAGTCATTCCCACAGTTGCGGCTCCTTGTTCCAGCCCAAGGCTCATCTGAGGCAGGTCTTGGAGAAGCTGAGAGAAACTAACTTCAAGATCAACGCAAAAAAGAGTGAGTGGGCCAAAACACAAGTATTGTACTTGGGCCACGTCCTAGATGGAGATGGAATAAAACCTGTGGACAACAAGAAAGCAACGATTAGAGATTGACCAACTCCCCGCAGATTGACAGAGTTGCGGTCGTTCTTAGGATTGGCAAATTACTATAGGAAGATTGTGAGGAACTTCTCTGCCATCGCTGCTCCCCTTCGAAGATTGCTAAAGAAAGAAGCGATCTAGAAGTGGGACCAAGACTGTACATAGACCCTAAAGAAATTTAAGCGGGCCTTGATAAAGTACCCAGTCCTCAAGGTAGTCGATTCGTCTTTGCCTTTTGTTGTCACCACTGATGCAAGTCTGTACGGTATAGGTGTTGTCCTACAGCAAGATGATGGCAATGGGTATGGACCCGTAGAATTCATGTTTGCTAGGATGCCTTTAGAGAAGGTAGTGACATCAACCTATGAGAGGGAACTCTACGCTCTAAGGCAAGTGCTAGATCACTGGAAGCATTACTTGCTTGGGAGGCACTTCAAAGTCTATTCAGACCACGGGACATTGAGGTGGCTGAAGACGCAGGCCAAGATGACACCTAAGCTTACTAGGTGGGCCGCAAAAATAGACCAATTTGACTTAGAGCTTAAGCTTGTCAAGGGGAAATAAAATGTAGTTGCGGGCGCTCTGAGTAGGAGAGCAGACTACTTTGGAGCAATAGTATATTATCTGGACATAGGGAGAGACATGCAGGAGAAGGTCAAGGATGCGTATGTGCAGGACCCTTTTTACAGTAACCTCCTCAAGACAGTCAACGAGGCCCCAGAAACTCAGCCCCATTACCGCACTACAAACGGATTACTATTTGAGAAGACTAATGTAGTGGATAGACTGTGTATTCCTAATAGTAAAGAGATCCATAGTCTGATCCTAGTGGAATGTCACAACACAGAGGGACACTTTGGTTGGCAAAAGACATAAGCCGATCTCGTGAGCCCGTATACGTGACCCGACATGAAGGTTGACTGCATAGAGTACGTACGCAGTTGTAAGGTGTGCCAGCGAAACAAGACCACTACGCAGACCCCTCTTGGCCTTCTCAAACCTTTGCCTATTCCCTCACGACCCGGAGAGTCGGTGTCTATAGATTTCATGGATGCTGGGGTCCAAAGTAGGCATGGCAAAAGCCAAGTCCTGGTTGTCGTCAATAGGTTTAGCAAATATGCAGTTTTTATTCCTTTGCCTTCAGAGGCACGCACCGACTTAGTAATTGTGACGGGCGAGAGGCTCAGGGAGAGCCGAGGGAGAGGAGAGAGAGAGGGGGAGAGGAAGAGCACACACACACACTCACTCACTCGACAYGACTGAGGGTCGGACGCAGACACAGTGGCAAGGCACAAAGTCGAAGTCTTGGATTCTGAAAGTTGAAACAGCAAGTCACTCTGAGTACGAGTACAGCAGCAGAAAACAGGTACGAGACTGGTCCCCGTACCGTACGGGGTGCCGTTATAAGTACCGGTGACACGTACGGTACCAGGGGCATTTCTGCAAAGGCCCCGAGGGCAGAACTGAAAAATGTGGTATTTGAAAGTGGCGCCCGAATTGCATCATGGCGCCAGTTGTCCAAAATCCTACGGTACCAAAGGAGGGGTTTGGAAAAAAGGTGCCCGGCCGAAAACGGGATGCAACCAAAACAGCAAAAAGATAGACCAGGGATCGAGCCCTGGCGGAGTCCGTAACACTATCCCCTCCCTCTAGAAGGCAACGTCCCGGCTGCCAAAAATCATGAAGCAATGCTGAAATCTGTGAAGGACGGGACGGGGCCGATCACTGGTTAACAAGTCAGAAGGGAAGAGGGGTATAATGTGGGTGGCATGGGTTGTGGGAGTAAGAGGGAAGAGGGTTTGGTACCGGTGAACGGAGTTGTCCTACTGATGAACTAGGGGGGGTTGCAGGGAACAGGGTAGTCCTACAAATGAACCAAAGGGACGACTGGGAGCAGGGTAGTCCTAATGATAAACTAAGGGGACTGCATGGTTTGCTATAGGTTAAGGGGGAACAGAGTTCAAGGAACAGGGGACTTTTATTGATGTTCTACTGGGTAAGGGAAATGTTGTTCAGGACAACAGGGTATTTTTATTGATGTACTAGTGGGTAAGGGAAACAATGGTCAGGGGACCAGAGGATGTCTATTGATGTTCTAGTTGGTAAGGGGAACAATGGTGAAACGGTTTTCACCTTTTGCAGTAGCAGATGCAGACCCCAGGGCTCGATCCCTAGCCCTTACCCTACCGATGTATAGTATCTGTGTCGCCCCCAAGGCTTGAACCCACGACCTATGTATTTGTAACAGTTAGTAGACTGTCGTAGGGTCCGTAGGTAGCTGGGGTTCGATCTATAGATCTGTAGAATAAAAGTCTTAGTGAGTTCCAGAAGTCTTATCTGTAGTCCTTCTAGAAGGTCGAGCAAGTGGGCAAGTGGTCAAGTGGTGGACCCAGTGCAGTACGTTTGCAGTACGATAGCGGTAGGATAGCGGTGAGTCCCCATCCAGCCAGCGGTAAGGTCAAGTCAGTCCCACTCTGGTCCAACAAGTACCACGAGGGACTGTGAGCACCATGGGCCGGTGGAAAGGGGCAGACCAACGAGCTTCAGAAGTATAAATCAAGAGGCAGCGCCCAGCCGTTCATTCATTCATGCGTGAGCCATGCGGAAGCGCTGCCACAACGACTTGTGCAAGGAGGCCTGCAGTGAGCCCAAAGCTGAAGTGGGCAAGGGAAGAAGGAGCGTAGCATAGCGATAGGGTAGCTGCGGCCAGAGCTGCCATAGCTGTAGATAGTGATCAAAGTGTGTGTGTGTGTGTGTCCAGAGAGACGAGTGTGGGATATCCAGGGTGATCCAGTGTATGCGAACAGTGAGTTGTCTGGGCGCTGAGTCGCCATAGTCATTAAAAATGTGAACTCGTATCTGGGTTTCGATATCTCTGAGTTTTGTTTGGGCGCATGTCGCCAGTTTGCTGCGCGACTGTTTGCATGCATAAAAAGTGTGAATGAAAGCGAGTCTGATTGCATTGGCATCGGAGCTGGTAACCACTATTCCATGCGCGCCGTCGTGCGTAGGGGGTGATGCGCCATAGTTGAGGTGGCCGCCACTAGAAGACGTCCGCCATAGCGGACCTGGAGGTGGGAGAAGCCACCGCGCACCTGCAAAAAGACCACGACGAAGA